CTACCCTGTACGTACCATAATGCCCTGAAACATGGACCAGGTACTTACTGCACCCCAGAAGGTCCCTAAATCCTGTGTTACTCTATATAACAGCATCCTCTGTTGCAATGTAAAACACAGTTAAGGAAGCGGCAACCTACCTGCTTTATCACAGGTGTAACTAATTTATACACTCAGATCAGCAGTGAAACTGAGAGCAACAGTAGGGAGCACTCTCCCTTTCTCATATACCAGGTTTATAGCCCCCACCACCACCACACACACACTATCAGAAGTTCACTCTGACACTTGGAACTCTGCAACAACCAAAACAACACCACAAACACACAGCAAGCTTTCGCACCTCACTGGGGGCCCCACAAATCACTAGGGTCCCCTGGAGCCCGCACCCACAAAATGCTGGGGTCCCCTGGAACCAGCACCCACAAATCACTGGGGTCCCCTGGAGTCAGCACCCACAAATCACTGGGGTCCCCCAGAGCCAGCACCCACTAATCGCTTAGGCCCCACAGTCAAGGCAAACACCCAGCTAGTGAAATTTAATCAGCGCACACAGCTTGTCCCACACATCACCCCCATCCTTCCCTCCTGCAAGAAGTAATCACATCTCGCCGTGTTAATTAGACATTAACGAAGTGTGAAGATACATTCCAATAATGAGCTGGAAAGACCTGGATGTTACAGGAGTGGGTGTAACAGAAAAACTGTACCTTTTCCAGTGCCCACCCTGCCACTCACCTTTCACTTAGTGCCTACTCTGCATCCTGGCACCCACCTTGCATCCTGGCACCCACCTTGTCACCCAGCACCCACCCTGCATCCTGGCACCCACCTTATAACCCAGTGCTCACCCTGCATCTTGGCATCCACCTTGTCACCCAACTCCCACTTTGTCACCCAGTGCCCACCCTGCATCCTGGCACCCACCTTGCATCCTGGCACCCACCTTGTCACCCAGCACCCACCCTGCATCCTGGCACCCACCTTATAACCCAGTGCTCACCCTGCATCTTGGCATCCACCTTGTCACCCAACTCCCACTTTGTCACCCAGTGCCCACCCTGCATCCTGGCACCCACCTTGCATCCTGGCACCCACCTTGTCACCCAGCACCCACCCTGCATCCTGGCACCCACCTTATAACCCAGTGCTCACCCTGCATCTTGGCATCCACCTTGTCACCCAACTCCCACTTTGTCACCCAGTGCCCACCCTGCATCCTGGCACCCACCTTGTCACTTAGCACCCACTCTACATCCTGCACCCACCTTGTCACCCAGCACCCAGCCTGCATCCTGGCACCCACCTTGTCACCCAGTGCCCACCCTGCATCCTGGCACCCACCTTGTCACTTAGCACCCACCCTACATCCTGCACCCACCTTGTCACCCAGCACCCAGCCTGCATCCTGGCACCCACCTTGTCACCTAGTGCCCACCTTGCATCCTGGCACCCAGTGCCCACCCTGCATCCTGGCACCCTACCTGCATCCTGGCACACACCTTGTCACTTAGCACCCACCCTGCATCCTGGCACACACCTTGTCACCTTGGGCTCTTGCTCCCCTGTAGTTCACAATACTCCCATAAACCTCCCAACACGCTAGCTAGCTAGCCTCTGGCCAAATAGTGCCCTGACAGCCTGCATGGTGTCCAATTCCCACCAGGCTGAATGTTTAGCTAGTTCCAGGTGGACTCAATTGCTTGCCAGCGTCCATGGTGCTTCATTGTGGCTGGCATCTTGGGCGCTGTGCTGGGCAGTGCCTGCTAGTTAGAGGGGAGTTCCCAGGATGGTGACAATAGTCTTTAAAACAAAGCTCAGTAACACACCACTAGGTGGCAGTCTAACACTTCCAATAATACTGCCACCTCATCCTCATAGAGTGATAGGGGGCTTGTCAAACCTAGCATGTTTCTCCAATATTCTATGACATACGACAGGCCGGACTCTCTAATACTCTGACATGTTCACTCTGTCTGTTAGCCAGGCTCTCTCTCTATCTTTCTGTTAGCCAGGCTCTCTCTCTCTCTCTCTCTCTCTCTGTTAGCCAGGCTCGCTCTCTCTCTCTCTCTCTCTCTCTCT